GAGCAAACTAAAATTATTTCCCTTAACAGTATTTTCCGACGTCTTCGTATAAATATATTTCTCACACAGAAGCTGCCTCTTCTTATTAAGTTTATCCGACGCTGTTTTATTTGAAAAGAGATCCATGAGTCGATTCATTACCAGTATAATAATAATTGAAGCAAATAATTCAACGACCTGTAGAATTACGACAATTCTCCTTTGAGTTTCCCGTAAACATCGCAGAGCCCGAGAGCTGACTTGTTTCGACTGGTGACACATTTAGCCTAGTGCCAGCTAAAAAGGCTACTGGTGTCCTTTTATTTGACAGAAAATAGCAATCCGTTTATGGTAAACCAAAACTGACATCAAATTCTGCGTAATTCGTTAAAGGTATGCCTAAATCCGTTTGCTGAAACCCATTCCACTTTTATTAATACGTAATGTTAGGTGAAGGAGACTCGTAGCCTATTTTTTCATTTTTAAGCTTTGCAAATGTGTTCATTACCCGTTTTTCTTAGGTAACTATAGAATCCGTACGCATCGGTATAAAACCTCCGTTCAATTAAAATTTTTTTCTTAATATCAGTCGCAAATTATTCTACAAATGTGCATGTAACTTGTCCGTCAAACTTACAGCCTTGTGCAATGCAAATACGTATTCGTATGAACTTTCAAATTTACCCAATAAAATACTTAGAATACGTATTTGTATTTTTGAGAAAAATTGCCCCAAACTTTAAAATTATCTCGAATTATATGCTCCGATCAAATGAAGGCAGGTGAGAGTGGACAATGCTAAGCTGCCTGCGAGATGAGACACACGTAATACGTTTCCTTTGAGCCTTTGCAGGGAGTAAGGCAGAACGCTGTCTCAACAAGTACAAGGGGGTCTGGCATTTATATATCTGGCTTATTGGCTGTCGCCAGTCAGCCCTTCATACCTCCATAACCTGGTGTTCAAACTCGAACTCTTGAACCGTTTAGCATTCTGGCAAATACTCTAAAACTGAAGTACTGGGCAGTTGCACTGCCGGTTGTGTCCAAAAAAGTTATTTGTTTATGAAAATAGTGCTCCACCGTTCCAATTTCCGGAGAAAGTATGCCCTACCGTGCAGCTTGGAGCTCTACTATAGGCAATAAAGAAGCATAGCAAAATCACCCTACGAAACCAGTCACACAGTAAAACTGTAGATCAGTGAGTGCTAAATACTTCACATAAACGGTCAATGACCCATAAGCTCGGTGTCTGGACATGATTGACTAATGACAGCTTATAAGCCACGATGGTAATTATAGTCTGTCGGAACTTTATGCGTGTTCCCTCTGAAGCATTTCAACTTTTTGATTTGAAAACTGTACTCATGTATTTTTTTTGCCAGTTACTGTCAACTAGCAGCATCTTAATTATGATGGATTCTGTATACACTGTATTTAAAAGTAAATTACAGGATTTAGAAG